TAATAATAAATTGCCAATCCGAATTCGAACTGGGACCGAGATCGGAAAACTGAGCAACCAGGTCCTAATGTCAGAGGACACACCAGCCGAACCGCCAGGTTGTCGCACCAGAGGAAAAGGACATACACTTCAAAAGTATGGACCAAGGAGAGGGCATCCTTCAGGCATCTAAAGCCTTGGCAGACCAACCCTTCCGGGTTGCCGGCTGGAAGGGAGGGACCGGTAAAGAATCCGGGTAAGAAAACGGTCTAAATGTGGGGTACTGGGGTTGCTAGAAACCAAAACAAGGTCAAGGAGTACGTAATAGATGCCTAGTTAGAAAGGTTGGTGCTTGAGAAACGTCTATAGAACAGCAGCACCCCAAAAGGTGGCATGAGATACGAATACAAAACGGCAGGTCAATATGTACTAATTAGGAAGAAGTTATAGGAACAAGCACGTGAATACATGTGTGGAACATGTACCACTGTGTTAGGTTTACCTCGAGGATAGTTAAGTGTCCTAAGGTAGTGTGCGAAATCCATATTGGGTGATACCAAAATCTAGCGTATGAATAGTGAGGAAACCCATTAGGTTAGAGGGCTGATAGAGGTAGTTAGAACCAGATGGTTTAAATGGGTACCCCCTAGTTGGGGTGCAGGCACGGCAGATAGTGTAGAACCTTTGGGCGGACTACTTAAATAGGCACTCAAAAGGTGCATGTGTGGCTTGATGTATCATCATTGTAATTATATATAAAACTTCGTCTATACTGTAATAAAAAGTTCCTCAGACAAAGAGGTCACCTTAATACCAAAAAAAAAAAAAAAGAATAACTTATATATTATATTTTATTTTTTATGTAAACTTAGGATTATTTAAAAGAAGTTACTCGGGTAATGTACGCGTCACAATTTATATTATACTGTTTAAATTAAAATCTATCTTGTTTTTTAAATTTTGTATTTAGTACAACATTTTAAATTTCAAATTCATTGCCGGTAATTAATGGTACAGTGTTGATTCTTGCAATTCTTGCTCTTTCCACTTGGACTGCTTGTTGGAGGGTAAGCCGTAGACTATGAATATCCTGATTATTTTTATCCTTCCATTCTGTAATTATTGCTGCAAGTTCTTGTAATTTTTCTAACTCATTTTTTCCTGTATTAGTATAATTCGCAGGTAAATGAGAAGAGCTGGAAGAACTAAAAATATTAATTTTCGTGGGATATTGAAGTTGAATATGTTGATTATTTTCTTCTATGTTATCTTCAGAGATCTGAAGCTGACTTAGCATGGCAAATATATGCTTGCATAGTAATTGGCGTACCTTGAAATCGCGGCAAGTACAAACATATGAATTAGTATTTAAATTATCTTCTTCATTACTTCTTCTAATAGTATATTCAATATCAGCATTAGTTATAGAACGGATAATCCAAGTATCTGAGCTAAGATTGTAGATATTGTTCTGATTAATTTTTTTTGCTCCTTCAATTTCTCAGAGTCATTGTTGTCGTCTTCGTGGATTTATCCTTCCGATATTCAAGTCATCCAAGAAAACAGAGAAGTCCAAATCCCAGAGTACTATTTCAACAAGTAGGTATACTTCACCATCGAGGCGTCGTCTAGGTCTTCCTCTCATATATACATATTTTAATTTTTGATGGAATGCCTCTATTAAATTATTTGTATCCATCATGTCTCTAGCAACCCTCTTAGGCAAACCGTTCATTTATCGTACTTGGGCTTCCACCACCTTTCAAAATATTCTGCGAATTTATATGTAGCTTCTACATTTATTTGTCTCCATTTATTAATTGCTTCTGTAACTTGTTTTAATGCCTCTGAATCGTCCCATCCTTCAGTTTTTATTAGCCGCTAAAGATCTTCCCAAATAATTACTTTGTGTAGATCTTTATTAGTGCCATGATGATGATTCAGATTGCGATGCCAGGAGCACAAAATGTGAAAATGGTATAATAATACACTGCTATCCGGGAAGCATTCTTCAACAGCCTTGATCTCTTCACTAGCATCGTCGACCATGAAAATATCTGGATTCCATTCTCTATTTTTTTCTTTTAAAAAATCAAGCCAAGCTTTTAAGGTAACTGATCGCTTGAATTTGCTAATTAAAAACGCGACCGGGTATCCACTTCCTGTTGCTGGATATCGAATAATAAGCGTAAAGAGGTGGTATCCATGTTGATTCAACCCATGCGTACCATCCAAGCACACCACCCTTGCAAATTTTATTAGTTCTTTTTGCTTTTCTGTTTGAAAAGCAAACATGAACCCTCTATCATTGTTACTGCGATTAAGTAAGCAACACCCACCCGCGCAATTTAATTTTTCTTCCCACTTTATTAAAGAATTTAATCAAGGTAGGCACACAATTTCATTGTATTATGCACAATAGTATAAATATCATCTTTTGTTACTAGACCATCTCGTAATGATTGAATATTTTGAGATTCTGTTCACTGTTCCAAAAGTTGCACACGGTCTTGAAGTTCAATTTCCCAGTGCTGCAAAAGTTGTTGGATACTATGAGTATCAATCTCTCTAGAGCACGTTGCCTAATGAAATAGCGTATATTGTCAGACAGGGGAAGCGTGCATAAATCTGATAGCCGGCCGGGTTGATGATTAATATGTTTATAATAGTGTTGCAGGATTACTATTGTTGAATCAACTGGGTGTGCTACTTTAATGTAACTTCTGCATCCACATTTTTTTGTTTCTTTTTTGTGAAAGGCGCGACTTTTTACTAAAATCCTTCCCAGCAGCACTACTGTATATGCTATAACGATAGCAGTGCCATCGTTCTGTCTACCTATATTTTTTTCTAGGGCCACCTTTTTTTATTTTATGTTCATGTCTAACATAACTAATCCCTGCCTTCTCAAGATTTTTGATCCATTCTTTATAATTATCAACATGTAGATGAAATGTTTTGGATTTTTCCGTATTATTCGAATTCTGTGGGGTTTCGTCATCATCTTTCATTTCCCACACTTCCCCAACATTGTCTGTTGCATCCATAATTCTATCAAGAATATTATCAAGTTCATTGTTACTAATATCCATGTCAGACTCCTCATCAATATCAAAGATTGCGTCGATGTCAATTGGCACTAATCTGTCAATTTCGTTGTTAAGCATTGCTTCATTTAGTAATGATGACATGGGAAGAATTAAAGAAATTAAGATAATGGAAAATTTTTCTTATAATAATTTATTCAAAGATATAGATAAAGAAATACTAATTTATTCAACTTGAAGACGATTTAATGCTACAATTTCTTCTTTTTATAATTTTTAGATGCAATTAGTAAAAAAAGGCCTTCATTACATTTTGCTAGTCTCGATTATTATTTTGACAAATTATTTGGGAATTTTGGCATGCATAGCAGCAATTTCATTACTTTTTATTTACAATATTTGATCTTTAATTTTTTTCTCACGAATTCAGGACATATTGCATAGACCAACCGACTCTTCACGAATTTGGCATGCATATTAGAATAATTTTTTCTTACGAATTCAACATATATTAATTTTATATTGTATAGACTTAGAACTGCACTTAGAGATCTTTACGCATTAGATATTCATTTATGTGTAGGGGATAAGGGATGTGAAAATATTAATTTCGCTAATATAAATTTGATTTTTAATTTTCTCACGAATTAGCAATTTAGTACGCATTTATATAGAATGAAATTTGGCATGCATATTATAGGCTGATTTTTTCATCATGAATTCAACATGCATTTATTTTATTGTATGGACTTAGAACTGCGCTTAGAGATCTTTATGCATAGGTATTCATTTATATGTATAGGATAAAGGCTATGGAAATATGTATTAATTTTGCTAATGCAAATAATTTATTAATTAATAAATAATTAATAAAAAAAAAAATAGTAACTATTTTTGTTAATTGATAATTAAATGTATGCATATTAGAATAACTTGAATTGATATACGTAGCATTGTCTAAATGCACAATCGAATGCATTAGTATCTACTAATTAAATGCTATGAATGAAATCAATATGCTATGAAATCAATTATCTAAACGCATATCGAATTACTATTAAAAACAGTTATATATTATGTATTAAATTTATATATCGGGACTAGCACTAATTATACTGTTATACTGAATTGAGGAATCAAATCTAGATGCATCACGAAAAGAAGAAAGTTACGAATTAAAGAATATAACGTGCCGAATTAGCTAAAAATATATAGTGTCGCAAATGAAAAATAAAAATCTAAAGAATGAATTTTAATAAGGCTTGAATTCTTAAGAAATAGACTATGCAGATTCAGCTAAAATGATTCAATACACTAGTAATGGTTTATTATCAACAAAACTTTTATTCTTCATTTATTAGAAATGCATTACTATACAACTTGCTACTTCGCTTATATACAGTATATATCTAATAAGTTTCTATAATATATATACAAAATTATACTGTATCAAGATTATTACATAATGACTCATAGCTCAATGTAGTAGAGACCAGTAAAGCATTAATATATACAATGAATCAAGCTCAAATCACGCCATAATAAACATGCTTGGGCCCTACAATATTTATGAATTATTATATATTAAATATTTTTAGGTCAAAGACTACAGAATAAATTATAAATGAAACTTTTCTAAGTTCAAACTCACGCATTCTGTAGTTATTTCAATCAAGCTTTAAACGAAAATTAACATCAAATAGACGTCAAAGTTTTGTGCAAAAAAATAAAAAAAAGACAGACATATTTAACTTAGAAGATAAGTACTTTGTGGCATAGACGTACATATATAGTATTTACTAAACGTTGAAAACGAAAGGCAAGTATCTTTAATTAGTGAACGTTATCATGCTATTTAAAGTAAAGGAAAGTATTGTGCTATTTCTGTATTTAAAGTAAAGGCAAATTTCATGCTATAGTACAAGTTAGAATTAACCAATAGAATGAAAGTCAGAAGTGAAATAAAAGTCAGAAATGAGTGCGGAAGGTCATGTCACAATTTCACCCAATTGGAGATGGGATCTACCTGCAGCCAATAGGAATCATAGAAAAGGGTAAAAATTAGTAAATGCCCCTAATTGAGATGTCCACATAAACTGGATTTATCCTGAAGGGCTTCCAGGCCAACCGGCCGTTCCACTTTCTCAAATTTTTCACCAACCAGCCCACATTCTCAATTGCTTGTGCTGATAACTGGACTTCGTTGTCCCATTGCTATGTGTAACGATTTCGTGCATCTATGAGTTTGTAAAACTCCATGCATTTTGCTTGGACCAGGAGCAACACTCTGGACAAACTTATTACCTTGCCTGCTACCAAAGCCAGGTCCCTTGCCATTACCATCGGTGCCTTTAATAGAGCCGCCAGTTTCGCCGTAGTTGACACTATTTCCTCTTCCGGCGCCACAATGCAACTCTTTTCCATATTCACAATCATACCACAAAACTTTAATGCTCGTGTTGGATTCCGGTTCCCTTTTTTCACAGCTCTGGTCCAACTGCATCCTTTCAAATTGATCTTACAATCCTTTCCCTTATCCTCAACAATTCTTCTTTCAATAGATGGGCTACCCACACATCATCCAAATGGCACCTACAGAAAATTCTTTGGGAATGCCACTTTCCAATTAAGGCTCTCATAATTTTTGAAAACACCCACGGGGCCTGGCTCAGCCCAAAGGGTAAAACTCTGTATTGGTACCAACTCTCTTTTACCATAAAACCCAAAAGCCTTTGGGCTTTGACATTTATTAACACATGATGGTAACCCTCCTTTAGGTCGAACGACATCAACTACCATCTCCAACAATTATTCGAAGTAAACCTCCCAGGCCTTCGAAGCGAAAGGTCTTTTCCAGAAGAGTTCGATTTAGTCTTCTTAAATCGATTACAAGGCAGAACTTCTTGGGGCCTTGCTTTGAAACCAAAAAAACCGAACTTACTTCTAAAAGGTCTGCCGGATGGGAACAACACTCTAAAACCTTTACTATTGCTCCCAAAAGCTTCAAACGCTCCAATTCCTGCATCAACCAAATTTCTTCATCTTGCAAAAAACGATACGGCCTCGGATCTGGCTCGCTCATTAACTGTATCAAGTTTCTTGGAAACAAAGAAACTCCCTCTTTTAACCATTTCATCACTAGCTGCTACGGCTTTATAACTTCCTCCCAATATTCTATCGCAGCTTGACTGTATATCTTTCCCACCACCTGATCTTCTGCATACACTACTCTTCAGGGTGGGTTCAGTCACCTCAAAAAGTCAATGCAAAGTTTTTCTTAGAGCTACACTCATTGGCAAAATAACCTTTGACCTCACAGATATAGCAAACAACGTCTTTCCCTTTAAAACTCTTGTTTTTATCGAACCTTCTTGGCCACTGTGACGTTGGTCGATACTCCTAGCATTGTGCTAAAAACGCCCTATCTAAACCAGATCCCTGTTGTGTATGCTGCAAATATGGCCCAAATTGAGGAATTGGCTGGCAAGTCTAAGCTGGAAAAGCTATAGCACCACCAAACTGACTCTGAGGACCCAGCTGTTGGTCTAAAAACTGTTGCTAAAAGCCCACCAGTTGAACATAGAGCTATTACTGTGGTACTTGTACTGGAGAAACACTACTTCCTTGAACAAAAGGGGCCTGGGTAGTTATAACGGGGATAGTACAATGTCTTGGCTTTTCTAGCCTTTGTGAAGCGCTGGGTGGCTAACCTGGCACTCTCCCTTTTATTACCCAAGAGTTCCAATATTGGATCCAAAATATCTCCAACTGCCATCTTCGACGCTACATCCCAACCGTTCTCATCAGCTACCCTAACAACATAGGCCCTCTCCAAAATCACCTGTCTTGCCAGACACACATAATCCATATTACCCGAAACTAAAGCCTTGTCTACCAACGCTCCTGCTTTGCACCACTCGTTGTATTCTTATTGATTTCTCTCTTTGATAATTCACGTTTCGTCCAAAAACCCCACGTTCAACCTCATTCATGGTTACTAAACCCAACTCAGCTATGCAGTTCCTTTTCCAAGTGTAACTAGGCATAAAACTTTGCCCCAAAACCAGTGGTTTACCGTAAGTACCTGCAGCACTATTCTCCGCAGCCGGCTGATGCACCTTATCACCTGTCCATCGAAAGTCTTTAAAATTGTCTAATGACATATCACTCTCCATACGCCGGAGCTGCACATCTTTTCTTTTTTCAGTTAACTCGATTATGGGGTCCTCCAAACCCGTCTGAGCTCTACACTCCTTCACAAGCCTAGCAGCAATTTCTTGTTTCTGTCCCAATTCTGACAGGCCCATTCCTCGACAAACAAGCCTTAGTGCCTCTACTGACAAATGTTGAAGGCTGGTTTTCAAGCTTGTTTGAGTTGTATCAGTGTTGCTTGACACAGTAATTGGTTCCGACTCCTTGTTTGTGGTTGATATTTGTCACTCTCAACTACTTGCACTTATTTGTATTAAAAACTAAGGGTGTTGCCACTCTTGAAATTTGTCGTATCGATAAAATGACAAGCTAAGTAAAAACTCTTTTATGTGCTTATGTTAAACTTATGTTTGTGTTTATGTTTATGTTCAATTTAGTTAGGTTTGAAAAAACCAGACAAAGTCGGGTTAGTACAAAAAACAGAAACTACTTTACCTGGGAACAAAACCCGTTCCTCTTAAATACTACTAATGATTACTAATCGAAATTACTATGTTATTACGTCACTAAAACTCGAAAATGAGCTCATAACTCATTAATCGGATCAATCAATAAATCAATAAGCAGGAAACAATAGATCAAACAAACAATCAATAACCAGTGCATCATACAACTTACATATCCTGTGACCGATTTTGAGACAAAATTCTGCTCCAATACTATCGTATCGGGCAGCTCATTCAAAATATGTAATATGGTATATTTAAGGAGAAGTGTTATTTTGGAATACGCATATGCATTATTTTGAGACAAAAAAACAATTTAAAAAAATGGGAGTTTTGAAATAGCTCCCATGTGCATAAGCTTAAATACCTTTTAGAGCTGACATACAATGTTAGTCAATTTCGTACCAGACAAGTATAATATCGAGAAAATTTTTAGTGCATTTTTACACTAACTTATATAATAAAAATTTGCTTATTTTGCAAATCAACAAATCTGGTAGCTATTTAACAGAAAATAAAATGAACACATTAAAATTTTTTCTTGACACAGTAAAAATCTGTTTTCACTGAATATGAAAATTTTTCTCAATGAAGAAAGTAAGACTAAATAAAATAAGTTACTTTCAATAACTCAAAAATAATTAATAAAAATGAAATTCATTATTTAAAACTAACATCTTTACAGAACTTAAATATCTTAATATGCAGTAACTGCATAGTAACGAAGTGGTAATTATTAAATTTAATCGTAACTACATACATAGTTGCTATACAGTTACTGTGCATTAATAGATTCAAAGTTTCTTATAGTTCTTAGCTCTTACAAGATGCATAACTCATAAATAAGATAATTTATAAGATCATTCAAGTTCATTTTTGTAAATAATAATTTTATAAAAAACATACAATAAAATTGAGTATTGATTTCTTGCTCAAGAAAAAAGATTTAATAATTCATTCCATATTTTAAAGTACTGCTATTATTCTATGTATCCCTTAATCCATATGTAAATTTGGGGCAAATTTGCCCCGAATTTTGTAAAATAATTTTTATCCACTCAAACTATAATAAATACTATAAATTGGTTATAACTCAAATAAAATACAAATATTTAATAAATTTATTTACTTTTTACTATAAAAATCTTCAAAACAATTGGATCTTACTTAGAGCAAAAAAGAGGTATATTGGATTTAATATACAAAATTGCATTGAGAAATTGCATTACTTTTTTTTTTTTTTTTTATCTTTATCATAATTTTTAATTAAATAATAGTAGTACAAATATAATTCTTTTTGTTTCTTTTATTTTGCTAAATGATTCTCCAATAAAAATAACTTACAGGTAGATTAAAATTAAAGTGCTTAATATTATTAATAGCTTTTTACTTATTCAAATTTTTAAAAATAATTTTTAGATGGTTATTAAATCTTATTGTTATCGTATCGTCTACAGCAAAGATGTATCAACAGGGATGTATGCGTACATGGTGATACAAACAATAGGGGCTATTATTAATAAACTTTGGAGGTGGTACGGAAAATTTTCCGGGAATCAGAAATTCGGGGCAAATTTGCCCCGAATACGGATTAAGGGATAATCTCATTTAACAAGCAAATCAATAAGATGAAGCTTATTCTGTCGCTATTTAACTCGAAATTGTTGTGTTTAGTTGAAGATTGAGTGAGAAATATATGGTTTTTTTTAATACCTGTTTGCGAATATTTTACGGCCAATGAATTTATTTTTCCCTAATTATATTGTACTAGGATATGGATGTTTTTACAAATTAACAAGTTCGAATACACATTTTTATTTAATTTTACCTTATTTTTATAATTTTTCAAATAAATCAACGGCCGGCTTATCAAATTTTTCATATAGTATAGTCATCCCTCATTTAGTCACTTCCCATAATTACATAATATGTAATCACATTTATATTTTAATAATTTAATTTATAAGAAAATACTCTCCATATTAGAATAACTTCTTTACAAGCCAATTTTATAAAAATTTATCATGCCCAACTGTGTGATTACTGTAAAACCTCACTAAAGTCACACCCACGGGATACAAAAAACGTGATTATAGTGAAGTGTGCTAACTATAAAGATCAAATTTATTATATTTAATAATGGATAGTTTTTAAAGACATAAGCTTATAAAGAAAATGTGTTTACATAAGGGACTATAGAGAGGTATGACTGTATTGCGAGTTTACATAAGTGACTAATATTTAATTTACGTTTAATAGAATATTATAATATTTTGTAAACCGTTTCATAGTTACAATTGAAATTGTAATTCTAATATTGCACAAAAGTGACAACTTTACTGATAAAATTTCGCACATTATTATATCAAATGAATAAATATTAGATTTTTAAGAATTTCAAATTATGCCAACTCAAAACCTCTGGGTTTCGCAAAAAGTAACTTTACCGTTTCTTGAACATTCTGGTGATTTAATATTGCTTGATAGCTGTTAAAGAAGCCAACTTTCAAAAAAAAAGGCCTATAATGAAAATGTAGAAATCATAGCTTTCCAATATTTAATTCAGAAAAAAATTAAAACTTCGCTCTTACTTTATAAAGTTGTTTAGCATATTGATAATTTTCAATCATTTTTATTATTTTTATAGAAGTTAAATGTAAATAAAAGACGTCAAAAGATAAAAAAAAAAAAAAAAAAGATAAAATTGATTTTAAAGATTTCATATTTTCAAGAAATAAACTGCCTAAATACAAAAGATAAGCATAATAATCTAAAATTTGTAGATTAAGCGAGAAGAAAATATTTATTTATGTAATATAATTTTGGTAAAATTTAATTTGAATATAAATTGTTCACAAATTTCTACAGTACTAATCAGTTACTAATAAATTCTGAAAATTTTTTCGTGTCAAATAGCTTACTAGTATACATGTCTTGTGCATGTATTTGTTTAATCTGTTCTGGTTTAATCTTATTAGCTTCTAAAATTTGTTTTTTGATTCCATTATCATTTTCCTGATCCATTTCATCTAACCAATGTGTGATTACCTCAATAATTTCAGTTGCAGTAGGTCGTTTATCAATATCTTTATCCATACATTTCATAGCTAATTTAATATAACAATCTGGTCCAAAGCATTTAGGTCTTGATCCTTCGATAATTTTTGATACAAGATCATCATTAAACGGTATTCCATCAAATGCTCTTTGTCCATTCGAAATCTCTGTTGCGATAACTCCAACACTATAAATATCTGATGCTTGTGTATATGGTTGGCCCTTAAAAATCTCAGGTGCTATATACGGCAGTATTCCGCAAATTTTTCCTTCATTTGCTTTTTTAGAAAGTCCAAGATCAGTAATATATGCTTCATGCAAGCTATCTGCTTGTAAAATGTTTCCGCTGTGTAAATCTCTGTGAACGAGTTCCTGAGAATGAATTGACTCAAGGTCCAAAGCTATACCGTACAAAATATTCAATTTATCTTTCCATTCCAATCGTGATACTTCTACAAGATTTTGTCGTAACGAACCATTCAGTGCAAACGCCATGACAATAATGTAATCACCATAATTATTTCTTGACACTCCATAACAATTCAAGAACGAAGGATTCTCGTAACCAATTTCACAGTAATTCTTCAGTTCCTGGATAAATTCTTGCAAATTTTCATTTGAATTTTGAATTACTTTAAATGCAACACCCCACCATGTATTATTGATTCT